GGCAGGGGGCAGGGCCGGCCCAGTTCTCCCCACCCCGCCCGTGACTCTGCTGTGCCTCCTCTCCTGACAGATCACACAGCTGAAAATTGAGAACAACCCTTTCGCCAAGGGATTCCGGGGCAGTGATGACAGTGACCTGCGTGTGGCCCGGCTGCAGAGGTGGGGACTGCTCCGGCCCTGGGGGCTGTGGCGGTGGATGGAGTTCAGGCACATGGACGCAGTGACCCAGAGTATCCCCCCTCCCTTCCCGTCTCCGGCTAACTGTCTTTCCCTCGCCTCCAGCAAAGAATACCCTGTGATCTCCAAAAGCATCGTGAGGCAGAGGCTCGTCTCTACCCAGCTGTCGTCCAAGCCTGACGTCAGCCCCCTGCACGGGGCTCACCAGGCGCTCCAGCACTACCAGTATGAGAACGGGGCCCACATGCAGTTCGCCGCGGCCGAGCCGCAGGACCTTCCCCTCAACACCTTCCCAGCCCAGAGGGACTCCAGCCTCTTCTACCACTGCCTGAAAAGACGAGGTAGCTCCCTCCTGCTCTGGATGCCCCGGAGGGTCGGGACAGGGGTGATGCCCTCCCCACCAACACTGCCCCCTGCACACGTGAGCATGCGAGCATGCACGGGGGGGCGTGCGTGTACACACACACACACACACACACACACACACACACACACACACACTGCTTGTTGTGTGGCCTGGAGACTGAGCCTAAAGCCTTGGGGACCATGGTCAAGCTCAGTGCTTCTTGCTTTGCATGCAGACAGCTTGTGGCCGTGGTGTCCCCTAGATCAGGATTTTAGGCAGAAGAGGGACAGAGTCAGATTGGCATTGAGGACAGGCATGTGGAACCTGACGAGACAGTCATGTGGGACGGGGTAACAAGGATGGGGTGATGTGGACAGAGGCTGTTACAGGCATCGAGAAGAGAGTGATGAGGGGCGGAACTGAGGTAGCACAGCAGGTGGGGGAACAGAAGACAGGATCGGAGGGTCTGCCGCAAGCAGTCCCCAGTCCCAGGTGTCACTTGGTAGCCGCTGCTTTGAGCACCTGGTCGGAGTGGGCAGAAGACACAGAGTGAGCCAGGCGCTGCCTCTGGGCATGGGAGAGGTGGAAGCGTCCCAGTCCGGAGGGTGTTTGTAGAAGCGACCTGCATCCTAACCCTGGGAGTCCCGGCCGAGCATAGATTCCCCAGCCCATCCCATCAGATCTGCAGAGGCTTCTTGAGAGTGGATGGGAGCTGTCGGGGGATGTAGACTAGGGTCCAGGAAGACAGGACGTGGGCCTGTCTGTGTTGGCTTCTTTGTGAGGAAGAGGAGTTCGAGCCGAGAACCAGAACATCGGTGCCCCGGTGCGAGGATTCAAGTTTGCCGTCTGTAAAATACAAATGATCAGTATTACCACGTCACAAGTCCTCACAGGGCCGCTGAAATTCTCTTGGGAATGGGTTTGGGGACTTAGCCTGCGGTGCAGAATGTTCTCTCAGCCCAGCTCCTAGGGACTACCCTGGAAGACTCCTAAAGAACCAGTCCTATTAGAACTAGTGACCTAAAACAAGGGCTGGCAAACTGCGGCCTTTGGACCAAATCTGGCCTGCAGTCCATTTTTGTTCGATCTGTGAGTCATATTAGAACTAGTGACCTAAAACAAGGGCTGGCAAACTGCGGCCTTTGGACCAAATCTGGCCTGCAGTCCATTTTTGTTCGATCTGTGAGTCATACGAAATGGTTTTTACATTTCTAAACAGTTGAAAAAAAATCAAAAGAAGACTCTTTCTTGATATATGAACACTATGAAATTCAAATTTTGGTGTCTATAAATAAAGTCTTATTGGAACACAGCCATACACGTTTATTTACCTATTGTCTATGGCCGATTTCCTGTTGAGAATCCCTAGGGAAGACAGGACGGAGGCCAAGACAAGGAACTGGACAAGTGTTCTTAAATTTGTAGAGTGGGCTGCTGCCCAAGTCCTCAGGCCTGGGTTATCCCTGGGTCCCCGGGGTGGATGAGCTCGTCCAGAATCAATGCTTGAGGATGTTGAAAGATACACATCCATGGTCTGGGGCACTTAATGTCATCTTTCCCCCCAACAGAGTATATTAGCTTCGCCTTAGAAATGCAAGTCACCTTTTACTTATTAACAGCTCCATTTCTTAATTGTGTAAACCCTGTTATGTTGGAATCTGTGTGATGACAATCTGATGGGACTTCTTTGAACATATGTAGGGTTTACTTCCTCTACTGAAAGCAACAGGAACATGCCTGTGAGTAACTTTGGCTTGCTGAGGCCTTCCTGGGAGCAGAGGATGGAGGCAGAAGCATTGTGGCTTTAATTTTCTGGCTAATTCAGACAGATTGTGGCCTCTGGGCCTGGTGTGGCCTGGCAGTCGCTTGCACTTTCCTTGGCCAAGGTGGGCCTGGCCTAAGAATGCCAGTGCACATTAAGGCCTCTTACCATCCCCAAGAGTCAGGGCAGCAAGCGATCAAAGGCATATGCCGCCTGAGTAAACACATCACTCAGTGTCCAGTGATGCGGTGTCCCCTGGTGGCCTTTGAGGGCAGTCCATGATCTGACCACTTTTGGGCTGCTGCCACCTTAACAAAAGCTGTCGCTGATTAAAATGGTTCTGGGAGTGCCATCACAGCGTGGGCACCCCCCTCCCACCAATGACAAGGATAGGCTGCCCTGGCATCCAGTGGGGGGTGTTCTGGACCCTGGGCTGGCGGAACTGGCTCTTCCTGAGGCTTCTTTGTCTTCCAGCAGACAGTGCCCGCCACCTGGACTTACCCTGCAAGCGATCTTATCTGGAAGCACCCTCGGCGGTGGGGGAGGACCATTATTTCCGCTCTCCCCCGCCCTACGACCAGCAGATGCTGAGCCCTTCCTACTGCAGCGAGGTGACCCCACGAGAGGCCTGCATGTACTCAGGGTCGGGGCCCGAGATCGCGGGGGTGTCCGGGGTGGACGACTTGCCCCCGCCCCCGCTGAGCTGTAACATGTGGACGTCCGTGTCCCCCTACACGAGCTACAGCGTTCAGACCATGGAGACTGTGCCTTACCAGTCCTTCCCCACGCACTTCACCGCCACCACGATGATGCCCCGGCTGCCCACCATCTCCGCCCAGGGCTCCCAGCCGCCGGGCAACGCCCACTTCAGCGTCTACAATCAACTCTCCCAGGCTCAGGTCCGAGAGCGGGGCCCCAGCGCCTCCTTCCCCAGAGAGCGCGGCCTCCCGGGCGCCGTGTGCGAGCGGAAGCCGCCGTCGCCGCACCTGAATGCGGCCAACGAGTTCCTGTACTCGCAGAGCTTCTCCTTGTCCCGGGAATCCTCCTTACAGTACCATTCAGGCATGGGGACCGTGGAGAACTGGACTGACGGATGACTCCCAGGTCCCCTCCGCAGCCCCTGGACCGTGTTAACCCAGTCTTAACCTCTGAGGGTTGGCCTGCCCCCGCCACTAAGAAACCCAGCAAGGTATTTCAAAGGTTGGGGTGCAGTGTGCGACCCGCGTGCGCGCGCCTGTATTTGGAGAGCACCTATCTTCCGACATACAACTGAGGCCCCGACAAAGCAAAAAGAAAAAAAAGAAAAAATACACACTTAGCGAAGAAGAGATTTTTGGCTGCAGGATTTGGATCCAGTGTTTTCTGACATCTCTTGACATGCCCTTGGGTGGGATGGGAGTGGAGCATTCATGTGAGTCACTTAGAGGTTTTTATAATATAATTTTCGATTAACTCAGGGGCCAGGTGGTGAAGTCTCTCTGGCAGGGCAGGTCGGGAGTGGGGGTTGGGGGGAGGATTCTCCTGCCTGGGGAGGTGGGGCTCTCTGCCCATCTTGCAGAGTCCTGGCTCTTGCGAAAGGCGCTGAGCATCTTCTTCAGGGAGGAGGAGGCCCACTCCTTTGGCTTCCGGAGAGTCTGTGCGACCATCTGAGAGGTGGGCTCAGCTAAGCCTCCAAGCCCGCTCAGAGAGGAGGGCTGACTGCTCGGTTAGTGGCCTGGAAATTGATCCCTGGAGCTCTGAGGTCTGAGGGACCACTTTTAGAGAGAGAATCATGGGCTAAGCACCAGTTGACAGGTATTAAAACCCTGTGTTTTTTCCCGAGAGGTGTGAAAAGGCAACCAATAACATCTCTGGCATCGTTCAGGTTTGCTTATAAAGGACAGAGCCCTTCCGCCTTGGTCCCCAGCATACAGCCCACACTCTGATGCACCAGACACTTCTCAGGCGCCGCCTGCATCCTAGTCAGCCGTTAGGACACACACCTGACCTGGTGGTGTCCCCAGGAGACCGCGCTGCTCAGCACCTCCAGAGCCTGTCCTGCTCCCAGAAAACCCTCGCCTCTGGCGCCTGAGAGCCCAACAGAAATAAAAATGAGAATTGAGAAAGCATTCCTCTCTTCCAGTAAATTCAGCCAGTGAGTCAGAGCAAGGATAACACTTTTCCAGGAAGGTGGACCCCGTGATCCCGAGCCCAGCTCTTCAGCATTGAATGTCACCAGCCCATCCGTGGGGCTGGTGGGAACTCTGTAATCAAAATTTGGGAAATCACTAAACTCTTTGCATGCCGAATAGCTATTTATATATTATATAAATAAAATAAATAAATAAATAAAATATATAAATATATATATCTCACAAATGCAGGCCACATGTCAAATTCAGCTTTGCTTTTTTTTTTTAAACAAACGAATAAACTTAAAATGAACATTGGAGAGGGTATTTGGAAAGACATCTATTTAAATTTTTATTACACATTTGATGTTAAAAACAAAGAATGACTTAGATAAAACGTATAAATAAATATATATAAACACACACACAGTACAGATTACACTTTATTAGAAGACACGTTAGCGAACGGGATATGAAACGTCAAGTGTTTTGTTATATAGCATGGACATTTTATTTTACATATCGGAACATAAAGCCATTTTACAACTGTGAAGTGTGTGGATGCTCTTTACTCCTGACTTGTCATTTCTTGGCTCCGCCACAGTCTCTGCTTCCCTCTTCCTCGGTGAGTTTCTCAAGGGCCAGGTGGAGCCCTTAGCGCCTCTGTGCATTTGTACCCTGTAGCCACTGAGCTTAGAGGGAAGTAATTTAGGACCAAGGGAGCAATCGTACCTTTGATCTCATGCTACTCCCCAGATGATGGGTCTGGATTCCAGGGCCCACAAAAACCCCAGAAGGGCAGGGAGACAGTATACAAGAATCTGTTACCTTTGAGTAGTGGACATACAACCGTGCGATGTGCCGGAGGTATGCTCACAGGTGGGGAGTTCTTGGTGGGATCTATGTGGCTGCTTCAGACAAGGAACTGAAGAGCTGGTTGGAGTCACAGCCTGCGGCTTCCTGGAACAATAGTCAGATGTGTGTGCCCATCAACCCCCTGCACCCCACCCCCCAGAGGAGGAATCGAGGCTTGGCAGAGACTGCTGTTTGTCCAGTCCTCTGCTAGATCCGTGAAGTTTGGTCTTAAGATGGGGTAAAAAAAGGAGACAAAATCCAGTCCAGGTTCACAGTCCTAGATGAGAAGAGAAACTGATGTCCGAAAGTGTGTTGGGTCTCCCTCCAAGCAGCTCCTCGCCACTTGCCCCCTATCCTTCATGGCTCCTTTTCCAAAACTGCTTGCTGTCACCCACCATCTCCAGGAGGGAGCCAGGGAAGAGAAGACAAGGGTAAGGGGTACCCTGTAAATCCTTGTCCTCATTGGGATTAAGATGAATTTTCCTGCTGGGTAGACGTCAACCTTGTCTCCTGTTTCCCCAGAGTCGTCCCCTGTGGCCCTGGGATTGCCCTCTGGCAGGACTTCTCTCGGCAGAAGGAAGCCAAGCTCCTTCACTTCGCTGCTATCTTCCCTGTGGCTCAGTGGTAAAGAATCCACTGGTTAATGCAGGAGACACAGGTTCATTCCCTGGATTGGGAAGGTTCCCTGGAGGAGGAAATGGCAACCCACTCCAGTATTCTTGCCTAAAGAATCCCATGGACAGAGGAGCCTGGCGGGCTACAGTCCACGGGGTCGCAAAGAGTTGGACGTGACTGAGCACACACATACACACCCACCTTGTTGGTAACAGAGAGAAACGTCACGGAACTTGGCCCAGGGGACAGGGAAGCGGGGGCTCTTCCTAACACACACCTGCTCTGCTCTTTTCTTTCTGGGTGCAGATGGCATTCTGGAATACTCCACACCTTCTAGAACTATAGGTAGAGGGCTGGGAACTTGATGTGTGGGTCCCAGGTTCTTTCCAGACACACAGTTGCCTGAGTTCGAGGTAAAGAAAGCCGCTTCTTAAGAAGGATTTTGTCTTCAGGCAGCCCGCAGCTTCCTACCAGCTTTTCTGGGAAGCATGAGGTCCGTGGACTTCCCCACCTGGGCAGGGCTAGAACAGGGCCTGCAGTGGGATTTGTGGAACTTTCCTGCCCCTTTGAATCAACAAGTCAATAAAAAGGGGGCACATGGGATCCCCTGGAACAAAGGGCACCATTCAGTAGCGCCAACAGGTCATACATCATCAGGCCAGAAACCTGCCACATGAAAAGTGGCTGCTGCTGCAGTGCCCTGCCTGGGAAGGGAAATAAAAAAAAACATGAACGTTCAACTGTGAGCCATAGGCAGGCAGGCTGCCCCCCCAACNCCCCCACCCCGCCTTACAGACAGCAGGTGGCAACAGCAAAGGTTAGAACGGGCTGGGTGTTTCTTCTTTTTTTTTTTTAATTTACAAATTCATTAGCAGCAATGTCAGCAGAAGCCAGACTCCTGACCAAAACCCCGGTAATGATTCAAATATGGCCCCCAGCAAAACCTGGCAGTTCCCGAGGCTCAGAGATTTCTATTGGGTCCGCCCACCGCCCTCCTATGCAAATACATTACAGGTCTCTGAGGCATACGGAATCAATCACGGACATCCTGTAAAGGTGATGAACTTGCACTGGCCATCCTGAGTAATGGGAACCAGTCAGCCCCAAAGCCGGCTGCGACTGAAAGCCAAGGTGACAGCTATTAAGCAATTGTGTGCAGAACAAAATGGCAAAGGGGCCGGGTAATCAATTCAATTTCGCTGGGCAACCCGAGCCACAGCCGCGTCTGTCGCAGCTGATTAGAGAGGGCCCCGCTGGAGCTTTCAGGGCGAGCCCATCAGAGATCAGAAACAGGCCCGGATGAAAAGGGAAAGAACCGTCTCCTGAGAAGCAGGCGATGAAGGACTCTGTTTTATGTGACTGTGCGCTTCCATCTCTCCTTGAAGAAAGAGTTGGGGGTGGGGGGGGAAGCGAGCAGTTTGGAGATTAGATAGTTTTCTTTTCAGTCATTTATCATGATGAAGGAAAGTAGACAGCGCAGGGGCCGAAAAATCTCCAGTGGGATTTCTGCGAAGTCTCACTAAGAAGGACCAGGTTTATGCTTTGCCGCTCCAGCAGCCCCTGGTTATTACCACAGCCTGACGGGGTCTGCAGAGCGTCCACAGTCCCTCCTCTCTAACAAGAGCAAACAGGCCCCGGTGCTCTGAGGATCACAGAAATTCTCCTGCAGAAACCCCAAACCACCAAATTGTATCATTTGTGAAAATTAAAGCCCGGGTTGGAATCATGCAGAGGGCAGGAAAATGGGAAAGATGAGACGAGGTTGTGCAAAGTGCCGGCAGGTTAGGCCCCTGCTGGGCGCCCCTCCGCAGGTACCTGGGTCCCTCGCGGGGCAGGAACGGCCCTGCTCCGCCATCACCACCGACCCCAGGCTGATGGTGAACCCTGGCAGCCTGCTGGAGAATTCTGGGCTTGTGCTTGGTTTTCTGGTGCAAGGGGTTCAGGGGACTCCAAGCAAGGGGACCCTCGGGCACAGAGGCTGTGAGAGAGACTGGCCATGGGACCGTGGAGGGGCCGGGAGAGGCTTGTCAGCAGACGGGATGCAGAAGCTGGACGGGGAGGTTGATACCAGAGCCCAAGGAGAGGAGTGAACGGCTGGGCCAGGAGGGCTCAGGGCTGGGGCAGGGCTGGAGAGGAGGGAGAAAGGGCAGCCTTGGGAGATGAGAGCCGTGGGTGCCCATGATCAGATCTTTTTTTTTTTTCTAATTTTTAAAATTAAAAAATAATTTTATTGGTGTATAATTGCTTTATAATGTTAGTTGTGTTCGTTTCTGCTATACAACAAAGTGAATCAGCCTCGTACGCATATATATCCACTCCCTCTTGAGTCTCCCTCCTACTATCTCCACCCATCAGATCACTCTTAAGTGAAGAAGGACAAATGATTCATGAACTTGAACAAGAAGAACCTTCCTAGTAATCGAAAATGCAGTTTAAAGTGATAATACACTGCTGTTGTCTAACAACTAAATCAACATTTAAGAAAAGATGTGGGTAGCCTCTTTTGGCCCTTGCTGGCAGGAGAACAGATTGCTATAGTCTTTCTGGAAAAAGCAATTTGGTAGTGTGGACAAAGACTCTAAAAGTGTTCATATCCTAAAGAAAATAACCAGAAATGTGGACATGGCTTAATGCTCTATAATGTTCATTGTGGTTATTATTTTTAATAGCTCCAAATTGGCAGAGAGTAAATTATGGTTAAGTAAATTATGATACACTCAGATTCTGGAATATGATGTCGTCATTGACCCTGTGTTTACAAAGTGTGTTCAGTGAATGGGGCAATGATTTAAAAACTAAGTGAAGAAAGAGGATTGTAATACAGTATACGGGCTTCCCAGATGGTGCCGTGGTAAAGAATCTGCCTCCCAATGCAGGAGACACAAGAGATATCGGTTCGATCCCTGGGTTGAGAAGATTCCCTGGAGGAAAAAATGACAACCCACTCCAGGATTCTTGCTGGGATAATCCCATGGACTGAGGAGCCTGGTGGGCTACAGTCCATGGCGTCACAAAGAGTCAGACATGATTGAACACTATAGAATAGAATGTAGACTATGGTCTCAATAATACTAGAAAATGAAAAAAATACTGGCACAGTCAAACTATAAATCATTAAATAGCAATCAACAAGATCATGAAATATATAAATATATATCTCCATGATATGTGAAAAAATTTCTGAGTAATACGTACGGCTCCCCATTTGTGTGAAATATAAAACAAAACCTCTGCATATGTGTGCACATATGTGTGTGCAACTTATGTGTGTGGTATGTAAGTCTATATGCTTGTGAGTGAGGTGTGTGAGCCTGTGATATGTATTTGTGTGTGTGTGTGTGTTTGATGAAGCACAGGAACAATTTAGGAGGGATTGTTTTCTGATAGTTTCCTCATACGTCTCTGTTTTGTTTGACTTGTTACAATGAGCAGGTACTACTTTCAAAATGAAAAGACTTAGAGAAAAAAGAAAAATAAGTTAGGGTTATCGAAGTGCCTGAAATAGAAGAGGAAAGAGTGAAAGAAACTGTGCCCAAATGCTGACGCCAGTCAACAGGACTGAGACTGCCTTCCAGACCCTTCCCTCACTCGTTTTCCTATTGACCCTGGAATCTCCCTCCTAGACACCTGTTCCTCCATCTAGGCCTTTAACGCTGCTCTTGTGCAAGGTCTGTGGCATTAGCCTTCTTATTTATTCATTCATGCATTCATTTTTTATTGAAGTACAGTTAATTTACAATGTGTTCACTTCAGGTGTCCAGCAAAGTGATTCAGTTATATCTATGTGTGTGTGTGTGTGTGTATATACGCACACATATATACACTCAGGTGCTCAGTCGCTAAGTCTTGTCTGCTTCTTTCGTGACCCCATGGACTGTAGCCCGCCAGGCTCCCCTGTCCATGGGATTTCCCAGGCAAGAGTACTAGGGAAGGTTGCCATTCCTTTCTCCAAGGGATATTCCAACCCAGGAGTCAGACCTGGGTCTCCTGCATTGGTAGGTGGGTTCTTTACCACAGAGCCACCAGGGAACCCCATATGTATATATGTGTGTGTGTGTGTGTGTGTGTGTGTGTGTGCACGCATGCATGCTCAGTCACTTCAGTCGTGTCTCAGCTGACAAAGAATCCACCTGCAATATGAGAGACCTGGGTTCGTTCCCGGGGTTGGGAAGATCCCCTGGAGAAGGGAACGGCTACCCACTCCAGTATTCTGGCCTGGAGAATTCCATGGACAGAGGAGTCTGGCGGGCTATAGTCCATGGGGCCGCAAAGAGTCAGACACGACTGTGCAACTTTCACTTTCACTTTTCACTCTTCTCACTAACTGCTCTTCCTCAACGATGCTGACTATTTCCACAGCTTCCTTCATCAACAAACACCAATGCATGTCAAGTCTAACCTCACCTCCCTCTCTTGAGTCTGTCTCCTGGATGGTTCTACTTAAGAAATGTCAGGATCTCCGACTCCCCCAGTTCACTCTTGAACCCATCACCACCTTCCAGGCCTCCCCTCCCCTTCTACTTTTGGGTAAATGGCACCCCCTCCCCCCACAGCTGACTTACCACCTGCCCACCCCAAACACTTGTGGAATTATGTAGATTCTACTTTATAAAGAGTGCCTACATCCATGCAATTTTTCTCTCTTCCATTAGGCCTGGCTTGTCTGCCCAGCAGCAAAGCCTTAGGTCTGGGCTGTCAGCTGTGTGAGGCCACAGAGCTTCGGGCTGTTGTCCGCCTCGGGGTGAAGGCTGTTCAGACACGTGGAGTCAGGGAACTGCCCAAGCAGGAGACAGGAGGCTGCTCAAGAATAGCAATGTTGCTTTCGCTGGGGACTCTGCTTGCAGCTTGGAGTGGCTTGAGTCCTCTGCTCCTGGCCACTGTCATGGGTGAGATGAGAAATGGGGCACTCCTGCAGCTCAGGTTCAGGGTCACAGCCCGGCCCCCAGGGTCACAAGCTATCTGAGAACCTCTTGCCTTGACAGGCCCACACCCACAGTGCGATGCTCTGGCTGGAAGCTCTCTGTCGTCTTATCCAGTTACTTTCTCTGGGCAAATAAGCATCTGTAGTGCTAGATCCCAGCATCCACTCTGTTGTCTTTACATCTCTTTCTCCTTTGGGGAATTCCAAACTATCCCCTCCCCCAAACTCTTCCGTGAGACCACTCCGCCTCTGCCAAGAAGGGACTGGCCGTGTTTCTCGCTGAAGAAGAGAAAACCCAAACCGAGGCGAGAAGCCCCCAGACAGGGCCTCCTGCACAAGCCTCCGGGGGAAGGCGCGTGCCTGGGCAGTGATGGTGCCCCTTCGCCTCCTGGACCTTGTCCCACGCAGGCGCTTGCGTGAGCTGGGGAGTCGTCCGCACCATCCCGCGTGCACAATAAACTACGGAGCTAGACTGACTCCTCTCTATCTTCTCATCTGAAACTTCTTTTTTTGATAGTTGCTTTACAACGTTGCACTAGTTTCTAATCAGCATATGTGTACGTATATCCTTTCCATTGTAGACTTCCTTCCTATTCAGGTCACCTCCATAGTACCTTAAGTAGAGTTCCCCGTGCTATACAATATGTTCTCATTAGTTATCTATTTCATTTGTTGTTGCTGTTGCTGTCTAGTCACATCCAACTCTTTGCAACCCCATGGACTACAGCCTACCAGGCTCCTCTATCCATGGGATTTCCCAGGCAGGACTTCCCTCGTAGNATCTTCTCCATGAGGCTGGGTCAGCTTGGTCCAAATGAACAGTCAGTAAATAATCCAGATACCTTTCAAACAACTCTTTAAAGTGTTTTGGGCAATGGCCCCAAGCCCCACATGGTGTGGGTGGCAAAGTCAGGGTGATTTCCTTGCTTTCCAACTCCTGGTCACAACATGCTGTCTTGGGATGACCTAGAAGAGAGTCCCTTTTTGTTTTGGAGTCACTTTTCCTTTACACCAGGAATTCCTTGCTTAGGGTGCCTGAAGCGAGGGCTGGGTGTCAAATGACACGGCTGCATTAAGAAAGATGGAAAGTATGTGAGCTGCTTTTAATAGCATCAAATACAGCACAGCACAGTCTTCCTTCTCCTCAGACCCCATGTGCTGAAGGCCTGAAGCACGTGCTCTATAGCCCAGCTGAAAAGTCAGGGGCTGCCTCTTCTGGGCAGCTGATGGACTGAATTTACTCCAAACACAGCACTGAAGATTCAGGCATTAAACTCCAGGCTGTCACATCAAAGACCCTAATGTACTTTTCTAGCCCAAGAAAAGGAGCTTTCGGCTTCTTTCTACATCACTGTAGATCTGTGAAAGGGCTAGGGACCTAGTGGGAAGAGATGTTGGTCCTGGTGCCAGTTTAGTCGCATGCTGGCTGTGTGAATTGCTCTTTCTGAGCCTCTTTTTCCTTTTTCCACACAGCCCCTCATATCCTTTGCAGCACTGGAAGTCTGTGATTCCATCAATAATGTCTACAGTCATGAACTTTCTAGTTATACTTAGCACTCTGTCTGAATCTACAGTAGGACTCTCCAAAGTGGGGTAACAGAAGGAAATACTACAACTTTTTTCTTTTCTTTTTTATGGAGGGTGGGGTTTATTTTAGGGTAGGCTCAAATATTTTAAAACAATCATGCAACTATTGTACATTTTAAATTAAAGTGCTTCTGTTTAAAGTCTTCTTAAAATGTATTTTAAAGATTTTTTTGATTAGGACCATTTGTTTAAGCCTCTATTGAATTTATTATGATATTGCCTCTGTTGTCTGTTTGGATTTTTTGGCCATGAGTCACGTGGGATCTTAGTTCCTCAACCAGGGATTGAACCTGCACCCTCTGCATTGGAAGGTGAAGGCTTAAACACTGGACCACTAGAGAGGTCCCTAAATTTCTTTTTAATTGGAGGACAATTACTTTGCAATGTTGTATTGGTTTCTGCTGCATAGCAATGTGAATCAGCTGAACATCCTTTTCTATTTATTTTAATCTCGTCTTTTTCAAATATCTAATGTCTACATTAGTAAGTCACACACACACACACATATGCTTTTAAATAATAAAGAATATATTGGGAGCATGTGCTTTAAGGCTTTTTGCTTAAGAGAGGTAAGATCAAAAATCATAGTGACTACAGGGTGATAGAGGCGTTGTCATG